GGACCCTTGTGCTTTGTGCCCCCCGGCCCCAGCCCCCACCACTGACCCACCCCAGCCATCAGCTCTCACCCACCACAGCACCCTCACCTAGTGCCTGTGACTGACCTGGCAGGATCAGCGCTGGGCCTGCGCCATCATGGAGCGGGAACCAGATACCCCTGCACCCCCGGGCAAGGACATGGGGCTCAGGCTGGAGCCTTGGCTCTCTGCAGATGGGGGGCACCCATCACTTCACCCCCTCCAACACCATGTATGGACAAAGTGTTGCCTGGTCGGTGGTCCACCCCCACTTTTAGAGCCACACCATGGTCTCCCCCATGACATGTCCCCTCTTCCTGCACTCCTGCCGGTCTCCCAGCATGGCACCCCATGCCCAGTACAGCCGGGTGCTGCTGCTCTTCCCTCCCCGGCTGGCACGAGTGACGGGAGCCACGCTTCAGGGCCTCCCGACCTGTCCCGACCCAGCCCGTTACCTGGAGGTCATTCTGTGGGTTCCAGTCCGAATCAAAGATGATGCAGGTGTCAGCAGCGGTCAGGTTGATGCCCAGCCCGCCTGCCCGCGTGCACAGGAGAAAGACGAAGCGATCCGAGTCGGGCTTGCAGAAGCGGTCGATGGCAGCTTGGCGCAGGTTCCCACGCACCCGCCCATCAATGCGCTCATAGGTGTACCTGCTCGGAGAGGGGAAGGGGCGAGAGCAGGGTCACAGCAGGACCTGAACTGGCTGCAGCTTACCAACCCCTTCTTGCTCCTTCCCCTGGGCGGTGTGCGGGCACGCAGGCAGCCGGGACTTACTGGCAGGACGCAGGTGGAGGCTCAGAACCCATCAGCCTGTGTGCACTGCCATTGCTCCCAAAAGCTATTCCTCTTATGATGGCAAAACCATCACGACCCCAGCACGGTGCATGGATACGGGGCTCATGGGAACCAGGACCAAGGGAAGGGCCTGTTTCCATTTGGTCACCCCTAGGACTAGCCCTGGGCAATGCAGAATGGTCAGAGCTGCCCAGCTTCGGGGTCTCTGCGCCCAGCAGCAGTAACTCGGATCCTTTCATACATGGGCACAGAATGGCCAAATCCCCACCCTGGGCTGTTTCCACTCTGTATCTACAATGCAGGATGGGGGTGATGTGGAGGAGGTGTGGTGAACGCTGAAGCCTGTACTAACCGCCTCTGAATGAGATAGTCTTCCAGGATGTCGAGGCAGCGCACCATCTGGGAGAAGATGAGCACCTTGTGTCCACCGGCAATCAGTTTGGGAAGCAGCTTATCAATGAGCACCAGCTTCCCGGCCGCCTGGATCATCGCCTGCAGCTGGAAGTCCGGTGCTTCCGGGCTGTGTGTTTTACGGAAGTCTTCCAGGATCTTCTCCTCTGCCCCTGCCAGGTGAGAAGGGATGTGAGCTCTTGGCGAGGCTGGCAGTGCAGCTGCCCCCAGCCTCCGATCCAGCGCAGCAGCAAGCCACCACGCGAGGAACAGAACCCGTGCAGTCAATCATATCTAGGGAGGTCAGCTAGAGGCCTCCAGAAGCCCCTCCACTCCTGTGACACTACCCCTTCTTCAGGGCTTGCAGCAGAACAAGCCAGGCTGGAGAGGGTCCCGCGCCAGAACACCCCCAAACATAGCAAGCCTGGCAAGACCCTGAGGTGCCCACCAGCAAGCGGCACTTGCAGGGAGCTGGGCTGCCTGTGAGGGCAACAAGGCAGATCACTGCATCCTGTGCTGGGCCACACCAGCAGCAGATGGCATGAGGGCCTGAGGTGGCTCCCAAGCTGCGTGAGCTCTGCAGGCAGTGACCAATAAATGTTGCAGCGATATCCATCCCCCCCACACCTCCTGTGCACAGTCCTCACCGTTGATGAGATACGGGTGATTGCAGCACTTCCGCAGCTCCATCATGGTGTTGATGAGGTTGGGCATATTGTGCTGGTTGGCACCCTTGGAGAGGAAGGAGAAGTTCTTCTCCAGGATGGCCCGGTAGTATTTCTTCTGGATATTGGTCAGCTCCACCTCAATGATGGTCTCCTGCTTGGGTGCCAGATTCTTCTCTACATCATCCTTCAGCCGTCGCAGCATCATGGGCTTCAGGATGGACTGCAGCTTCTTCACCTGCCAGAGCAAGTGCAGAGACTCACTGCCCTCCCTGCATGGCAAGCACGCAGTGTGGTGACAACAGCAGAGGGGCCTGCAATGCTAGAGCTTCCCAGGCTGCAAACCTGCTACAAATGACCCTGAAGCAGCTGCTCTGCTGACAGCCAGGACAACTTCAGGGTCTGCCTTCCCTGGGGCAGGCATGTGAGTGACCAGCCCTGGGCCATGAACTCCACACGCTTCTGGTGCCAGCAGCCTGGGGTAAATGTGTCTGCTGCAGGAGGAGAGCTGAGAGCTTTGACAGCAGCTGAGACAATGGTTGCTCCATGTGCCCATGCCCGCTCCCTCAGAATGACGATCTTTGTGCAATTTCCACTTAAGCCAGACATTCAAATGGCAGCGAGACAGCCCAGGGGACTGAGCTGCTTTCCATGACCCAAGCTCACAGGGAATTTTGGAGGACAGTCCCCAGAGGAACCTGACAAGGGCAACTGACACATGGACTTAGTGATCTCCTCACTGCCCCTACCCTCCTGTCGGTCTCAGGGACAGAGCAGGTGGGAAAGCAGGGTGAGCTGTGCTGCCCAGGCACGCAAGGGGCAGTGGGGAGCCAGGCGGGGAGCAGACGACTGCCTTGGCACAGGCTGGTCTCCTCTCTCCAAAGGAGCACTGGGGGCTCTGTCACAACTTTGCTTCTCCCGGCATGAGGAGTCCTATCCACTTCCACAAAGTACATGTCTGAGTGCGTGCCTGGCCTGGTGACCATGTGTCCCAGTGGTCTGTGCTAACAGTCACCAGCGGCACTCTTCTAGGTACCTGCTCCTCTGTCTTCAGGTCTCCAAACTCCTCCAGGAAGGCTGTCTCTGAGGGGAACTGCTGTGGCTCCAGGAAATTCAGGAGGCTGAAGAGCTCCTCCACCGAGTTCTGCAGGGGCGTCCCTGTCAGCAGCACCTTGTGCTCCTGGGTGCACATAGAAAACAGGTTGAGGGCTCAGACCCACTGGCTGGGTCCAAGGGGTCCCAAGAGCACAGTGCTCCTTCTCTTCCAGCCCCAGGAGCGCTCTGGGTGGCCTGGGGGCACACACACTCCCTGAAAAGCTCCCGTGCCAGCCCTGACCCAGCCACTGCCACAACACTGGCTTGTGGCACCCAGGATGCTCCCCTGGACGTGTTCCAATCCAGCAACAAGAGCCAAAACTGAGAATCCTGCACTGCGCCCAGGCTTCAGCCCTCCGTGGCACAAGACCCTCAGGCAGGGCTGTGCCGACACCGGATGGGGATGCTGCCAGAGCCCAAGCTGCCAGAGCCCAAGCCTCTGTGCCCCTGGGGGCAGGATGTCCCTCGTCAGGGCTGGGTAGAACAAGAGGGAATATGGCCCAGAGCCTTGGGATACTGAGGGGCATCAGGGACCTGTTGCTAGGGCCAGCGTGAGCAGGGTGCTCCAAAATCAGCAGGGGGACGTATGACTGTATCGAGTGTGCACTGGGAACAAGGAGGGGCTTTTATTAGAGGTTCACCACATAGGAACACACGCAATAAAATAAGACAGGGGCCCAGACAACCCCCTGAGTCCTGGGGGTGTGAGAGGCGGATGACCCCTCAAGGAGAAGGCACTCCCTTCCATGTGCCGACACCACGGGCTCTGGCTTCATGCACCACGTGCTGCTCTGTCCCAGCAGTGCCAGAGACCTGGGCGCTCACTCACCGCTCAGGCTAATCCTCCTGCCCAGCCCCTGCCCTGCAGGGACCGTCCCCAAGAGTCACCAGCTATGAAAGAAGGGCAACTGTAAGGTGGGAGGCTCCCACAGGACTTGTACACAGGAAGGTGATGGTTAGGAAGGAGAGCCAGCAGCAATCCCGCTTTGCCCCAGGCTGCTCACAACCCAGCAGGGACCTGCACAAGACACAAGGTCACGGGGAAACAGCAGGGTCTTTGGGAACTGGAGACACAAGACGTAATTTTTGAAGACCTGGCCCAGCTACAGGTGAGTGTGATGGAGCTGGGTAGGGCTGGGAGATCCAATAGGCCTGATGGCTCTCGGTCCAGCAAACAACAGCGCTGCCTTTCCCAGGGCTGGAAAGGAGCTTGACATCCAAATTCCTATCTCAGAGCAGCTCAACATCCAAATTCCTATCTCAGAGCAGCTCATTGATCCCTTTTTCACCACGCACAGTCCTGCACCTCCCTCCCCGGCCCAGACTGGTCCCATGTTTGCAGAGCAGTAAGAAACCAGCTCAAATACTGCAGCCCTGCTCGCCACAGGGTACAAGCACACCATGGCCAGAGGATGCTGTGCACGGCTGGTCAGCAACTGCCTCCATGTGCTGCAGCAGCCTAAGCTGTGCTGCAAGGCCGGGCAGTGCTCTGCCAGGGAGCGCGCACGGATGGGAAGGCACGGGGGGACTTGGCCTGCTGTGGACTAACACTCCACTTCAGCAAAAATGAGTTTGTGATGGCTGTGGGGGGCCATCATTGAAGGGCCCCCATCACTGGCACTGCTTCCACGACCCGATGGGTCCTGGATGGTTTTCCCTCTGACAGGGAGCTCTCAGCCCTGGCACTGGGCCTGAGCAGCTGGCAGTGGCACCTGACTGCTAGGCATGGCCATCTCTGGCCCACCCTGCTCTCCCGTGAACCTGGGCAGAATGTGCTCACCAGGGCCATGAGCTTCAGCCCCTCCAGGAGTTTGCAGTTCCTGTTCTTCAGGCGATGTGCCTCGTCAATGACCACGCAGCGCCACTGAATCTTCTTCAGCTCCGGGCAGTCAGCAAGGATCATCTCAAAGGTGGTGATAACCACCTGGAACTTGAAGATCCCAGGGAGAGGGTTACCCTAGGGAGACATAAACCATACGCAGCGCTTGACTCCTGCAGGGTGGCAGGACACTGTCAGACATCCTGTCAACATATCAGTGTTAGCATCTGGCTCCTAGGTGGGGTTTCCCCAGATTCATCTCTCTCAAGCAGCGGTCAGGTTCCTGCAAGCCTCCTCGCCGGCCGCAGGCTGCGTCTGTCCAAACCAGACACTGCTTCAGGGCAGGCAAACAGGCCTGGACAAGAACTGCAGCTGGGGCTCTGCTGCATTTTCCCCTTTCTGCATGAGTTGGGCCTGTTCTTCGCTCACACACAGTGCACCCTGAGCCCATGCCAGCAAAGGGGTCCTAAAAGACCACCCTTCCCTCTCCAGATGAACCACAAGCTCCACGTGCAGCTCAGTGCTTCCCAAGTAAAGGAAGCCAGGGCTGGGGGACGCATCCTAGGAGTGTTGTGTGTCAGTCACCTGGGTGTCCCTGTACACCATCTCGTACTGCTGGATCATCTGCCGGCTGATCTGGCTGCCGTGGTACACGATGGCATTCATCTCTGTCCAGGTGCGGAACTCCCTCTCCCAGTTGGTGATGGTGGAGAGAGGTGCGATGATGAGGAAGGGGCCATGGATCCCCATCAGGAATATTTCTGAGAGGAAGGTGATTGACTGGATTGTCTTCCCCAGCCCCATCTCGTCAGCCAGGATGCAGTTCTTCCTGCAGGGATGGACAGGGGCAGGTGAACGTGGCTCTCAGGGACAGGAACCACCCTGTCACCATCTCCTCGAAGGGATGTCAGGCACATCACCTCCTCCCACACCTCTCTGACCCTACAGCATGGAGGTTGGGGGGACATTGGCACAGTGGCCAGACCAGTCTGGGTAAGCCAGACCATCCAGTTTCTTGCAAGATGATGGACTCAAAGTTAGTGTGAAAGATGCTGTCCTTTGGTGCATGCTAGCCAGTGAAAGATGCATCTGATGGGCTGCTGCAGCTGAGAACATGCATATTCCTGCACTCCTGCCACAGGAATGGGTCACCAGTAGCCTGGCCAACACAAAAATCAGGTGTATCTTGGACCCACATCTAAGGCCTACTGTCTCCAAGACTCATGAGCATTTACCAGGGAGAAACATTCCTAAAGACTCAGTTGCAAAGCTAAACCAAACATGATTTTTCAGGCAGCTGCCTGCCTGCTCCAGCACTGGAAGGTCTCAGCGGCTGCTCTGTCAGGCCCCTGTTTGTCAGCTCTGCTCCCCCAGCTCTGCTGCTCCCATGACCACACACAGGGGCCAGCAGGACTCCCCCTGGAAGCACAGGGCTCCAGCCCCTCCTCACCTGTTATACCAGTTAAAGAGCAGCCAGTTCATTCCCTCCAGCTGATACTCCCGCAGCTGGTTGCTGTTCTTATACTCCCGGGACTTCTCCAGTTTCTGCCAGGACTCAGATGCCGGGCGCTCCTAAGAGGAGAGAGCAGGAGCAAGGTCCATGGAGAGGAAGAGGCTAACGCTCAGTGAGGCCAGACCCTGCTTCTGGGGCTGCGCATCAGGACAACACTTCAGAACAGTCATTGACAGCTGATTTACAGCAAGGTCTTGGCCTCTGGATCCCACCCTCAGATCCTGCTAACTAACCCATCCAGAGGGGAGGATACGGGGTTTGCACTGCGGCAGCAGGGACAAGAAGGTCAGCACTGCTGGACCTCGGCAAGACAGAGACAGTCCCCGCCTGCCCAGGGCAGTGAGCTGCCAGCCGGGTACGTTACCTCTGGGTACGTTACCATGTGCTTGGTTTCTGGAGGGATTTGGAGGGCTTCAAACTCTTTAATCTTCCCTGGGTCGACATCCTCCTCCAGCTCCCAGGTGCTCTCCTCATAGGGCAGCGAGCACCACTTCACCAGGTAATGAGTCACCTCCTGCAGCATGGAGAGACGGGCTCAGGGACGGCGCAGGGCTCACAGTCACTCAGCCCCAGTATGCGGCTCAGAGACAGCGCAGGGCTCGCAGTCACTCAGCCCCAGTATGCGGCTCAGAGACGGCGCAGGGCTCACAGTCACTCAGCCCCAGCATGCGGGTGCAGCCTGCGACTGCGAGCGAGTCACAGGGACGGTCAGCAGCGCTCCATTTACCCCCAGGGATGGGGCTGAGGCCGTGCAAGGCTGGGAAGGCCTCGGGGTGCTCAGAGATGACATGCAATGCACGTCATGGGCCTGAGCCTCTTGCCAAGCCTCCCTCCGTCCATGGGGCAAGCGAGCAATGGAGCCACTCACCTCCCCGGTGTCAGGGTCCTTCGTGTGAGCCACCTCCAGAATTCGATCTACCTCCACGTAGTCCGGGTTGAACAAATCCTCATCAGGCTGTGACAGCGAAGAGTAAAAAGAGAGGTAAGTTCAAGGTGATTCCAGGGTTAAACAGATGGCAGGCATGAGTAAACAGCTGTGGGACATCTGTCCCCAGGATGCTGCTAGCCGTGCGCAACACACCAAGTGCCCTGGACTCAGGTATGCGACATCTGTCTCTGGGCAGGGAGGACACAGGAGCCCTGCAGAAGGCAAAACTCTTGCTTTGGAGCGGCCGCAGGCTCCATGCTGCCCTTGCTGGGAGGTAGGAATGTCCTCTCCAGCCCATCTGCCCCCAAGGTACAAAGCCCTGAGCTGTACACGCCAGCTCACGTGCAGCACCCAGAGCTGTGACTGCCAGGGCACAAAGCCGCACATCAAACCCGATGAATTCCTCTCCTGTGCAAGGGACAACACCTTGTTCTCTGTCTCTGCCTCTCTCTCTCCCCACCTTCAGCTCAGCAGCCACCAGCAGCAACTGCTGATGAGGCCGATGAGGCCAGGGCTCATCCTCCTGCCAGGAACACCTGGGGAGGAGCAGGCTTTAGACTAGCCGTGGTCCTCGGAGAGACACGTCTAGGGCTTGGGAAGGAGAAAAAACAGGCTTCTGTGTTCACAGCTCCCCGAGCCCCAGTTAGTCACAGAGCTTTTGCTCCTTGCTAGATTGTTAGTGGTACAGTGTGTTCCAGCACACGCTTTTTCTTTGCATCCTGGGAAAGACCCCAAACAGACTCGGGAGTGAGAAATTTGACACACACCCCCAGCTTTCCAACTACATCTTCCTGGGCATGGCCATGGTGTCAGCAAGGGGGCACAGGCAGGGCCTGGGCAGCACCCTGGGATCACTGAGCCACAGCAGAGCTGAGGCAGGGCAGGCACAGCCGCACAGTGAGCCCTGCCTCCTCACCCCCAGCCCTGAATTTTGGCACTGGAGCCAGTCTCCAGGGCAGCACTCAGCTCTTGGTCTGCTCAGGACCACACCAAGACCAGGCGTGCTGGGGTCAGGCACAGCTGCTTGCTGTGCTCTGCTCTCACCTCTGTGAAAATGTGCTTCATCTGAGCCTGCTTGTTCCGAAAGCGCTTTATCTTCTGGGAGATCCTGGGGTCCTTCTCCAGCTCCTCCAGAGTCGCCCATTTACAGTGGAGATAGGAGCTGCAGAGGGGAAAAAAAAAATCAACAAAAGGTGACCAGAGAGGCATTTGGGCCCAACCCCATCCACCATGCAGACCAGCAGGGATCTCCCAGCCACCCAGGAACACTCAGCCTACACCTCGCCCTGTGAAACCCCGAACTGGAGGAAGCCATGGCCAGGTCTGAGTGCTGCGGCTGCAGCAGCTTTCCTGCTGCCCACCGCCGGGGCTGGCTCAGCAGGACAGGGGCAGCGAGACAGTGATGCTGGGGCTGCAGCTGAAGATGGGACGGAGGTGCGAGCGCACAGCCCTCACTCCTGCATGCACAGGGCCCGCTGCCGTGGCACAGAGAACCACAATGGTGCACGTACAAGTTCCTGTACTTAACGTAGAATTCCTCCATCTCAAACGTCAGGCCTCCGGGATGAGCCTGAAACCAAGGGAAGGAGAGTTAGTGACAGTCAGAGCCTGTGCAGAAAGCGGGGGGCATCCTCTGTGGCCTGGGCACAGACAGGTGACCCCTGCCCGGCCACAGGCTCCAGGCAGGTTGAGCCCCATGGACAGCGAGGATGGCCAGGCACTCGGCGTGCTGCCTGCCCCAGAGGCCCAGTGGCCCCGGGGAACGTGGTGTGAGACCCCCTCCCGTGAGCACACGGGACTCAAACACCTCCTGGGTATCAGCCCAGGCCTGACTCCTCTCCAGAGGCTTTCTGGTGCCCAGGGCAGGGGAGGCACCATGTTGATCCCCAACCCAGAAAGGTGCCAGTCCATGCACACCCCAGCAGCACCCTGCGAAGAGCGAGTGCAAGGAATGGCACAGCAGCACCAACTGCTGCTATGTCTCATGTCCCTGCTGCACAAGGCAGCCAGGTCCCATCTCCTCTGCCCAGGAACCTCCAGCCCCACTGACATCTTTGCACTCACCTCCTTCTGCACCATCCTGGAGGCAAGGATCTTCTCGATGATATTGGCATCATCCTCAGGAGGCTCCTGGGGACAGAAGAGCAGAGTGCTGTTTTCCCAGCTCATCATGCGGCTCGGCCTCTGGCACCCTCCCAGCACAGCGGCCGCTTGCTCCTCTCCCAGCCCACCAGCCAGAGCCAGCACAGTGGGAGCCGGGAGAGCTGCGCTCAGGGAACCCTTGCTGGGTGCGAGGGTGCAGGTGCTGTGCGCCCAGCTGCACCAGCCCTCCACCTGCACTCCCCGGGCCAGCAAGGCCACAGCACTGTCGTGTTTAGCTGTGCTGGTCCTTCCAACTAGACCAGGGCAGCCAGAGAGGGTGGCAAGTCTCCCAGAAAAGAGGAGGCCGCATGGGCACTTCTGCCCCAAAACTCAAGGAAGGAAATGCACCTAAACATGCACATCTCCTGCTCCTAGCCACCCTCCATGTCAGATCTCTGACTTGCCTTGGCATTTATACAACCCTACAGTGCTGGACGGCCCCAAGGGCCACAGCAGAGCAGGGCTGTTGGGCCCTGCCACGGGCATCCTCTGTGGCTACCACCTGCCCATGGCCACAGGACACGGGCAACAGCACCTCAGCCCCACCGCTGTCCATGCAGCTCTTCCCAGCAGGCTCAACGTGCGACCTCCTTCCCACTGCAGGCTTCAACTCTGCCATAAGGAAATCACCCCACGAGGCCGCAGAGACCTTCTGCTGCCACCCATGGGCTCCCACTCCCTCAGGCTGAGCACACGAGCTTTGCTGGAGGTGGCCCCAACACTGTCCTGCTTCCAGCTCAGAGACAGCAAGCACAGGGCAAGGGGGAGACCGTCAAGGGTCTCCTGGCCACGTGCTGTGGCAGGACCAGCCCCACCAAATGCCAAGGGACAAGAGAGCCAGGCTTGGGCCTGTCTGCGCTGTAGCAGGAGACGCACAGAAAGATTAAGGGTAGAGGACTGACAGCAAAAATGTGGAGCTTGCTTGAGCATTAGAAGTATCAGTTCCGCCCTGGCTGGGAGATGGTACAGAAACAGGAGGAAGAGCAAAGTGCAGAGCAGAAAGGAGGATGAGGACCCTTCATCTCCCTCAGACAGAGGCAGAGCCTGGTCCAAGGCAAAGCAGCCCTGTGATGTCCCTTTGCAGACTAGAAGGACCCCTCCGAGAAAGGCACAGGGCAGGCTGTGAAGGGACAGAGCGCCAGGGCATCCCACACCACGCACCCAAAAGGGTTTGGGAAACCCAAGGCGGTGCCCAGGGCTGCAGCACCGCTCCCTGTCGCAGCCCTCGGACGACCTTCTGCCTCGGCACCCCCCTGCGGTGGGGGGGCAGGATGCTGGACCCAGCACTGCAACACAGCGAGCAGGGCAACAGCAGCTCTGTCTGGGCCCCTCAGCTCCAGTCCTGCAGCCCAGAGGGGGATTTCTGCCCTATTTGGGGAGCTCTGCCCCACGCCAGGGTAATGCGGGTGAGGGGAGCGTGCAGAGACGCTCCCGCTGCGGTCACTGCGCAGTGCCCGTTTCCCCATGCCCGGCCATCCACCCTGGCACTGCTTGCTCCAGCTTGACCCTGGCCACAAAGGGTTTGTGTGAAGACGTTTGAGGGCACAGTGCTGCCATCGCAGCCACCTCCAGTGCCCCGTGGCTGGGAGCTCCCACGCTGACCTGCAGCCCAGCCAGCTTACACAGGTCCATGGCTCATTGCTGGCAGTCTGTGGGCTACCGGAGGAGCCCTGTACCACCCCAGAGAGCTGCTGAGGAACGTGGCCAGGACCCAAAGCTGCAAGTCCAGGCCATGGGGAGAGCAGTCCTGAGGCCTCAGCACTCCCATCTTGCCCTGCCGAATCAGTCCCGACCCCGGGAGCAGCCACGGCCAGGCCTGGCCAAGCCTGTTGGCAGGAGCCCAGAGCAGCCACTCAGCTGGGAGCCTTGCTGCCATCAGACACCAGCCTTAATAATTCATCTAGAGCAGGACAAATTGAGGTGGAAGTCTGGGACTAAGAGGAGAGCAGGGTGGCAGCATGCACACATGCCAAAGGCAACCCATTCCCACCTGCTGTTACGAAAATCTCACTTGGAGAGATGGCTGCCAGGAGCCCAGCTGGGACACGGCCCTGGGCAGCTGCTGAAGCAGCACCGGCAGCATCTCCTGCGGGGGTGCGGTTGCGCAGGGACCATCAGGCCAGGTCTTACTTACTGGCTTAACAACAGAGCTAACACCCACACCAAGGGCTTGTGAAGAGAGGACTAGAGAGGGACTAGGGAACACTATGAAAACAATCAGTGATCATCACTAATATCTGTCAGCAGCCAGAGAGAGGGAATGAGCTGCGGGATCCAACACGCAGACCAGCAGGAGCCAGCGCTGACCAGTGGATAGAGGAGGAGGCAGGGCAGCGAGGCCCAAACTGCAGCAACACTGGCTGGTCCCCGCCACGCTGCCCAGATCCCTGCCATGCCGTCCAGCAGATCAGCTTGGCTGGCAGGTGTCAGGCTGGGCATGTCTGTACTCTGAGGCACTGGTGGAGAGCAGCAATGTGGACAGAAACCGATGACCTGGCAGCTAGAAAGCCCTCAGCTAGCAGAGCCAAAATAATAGACTAACCTCCTGGACAGGAGCTACAGAGACAGGAGCCACAGGTGGGCATGGCAATGGGTGGGTCATGCCTTCAGGGACACATCCAGCTACAAGACATGTTCCGGAGGCCTTAGTCTCCAAGCAGGAGGGGGACAGTGGGACCTGCACGCCCCTTGCCCATCTCTTTGTGCACTCACAGTGCCTGGAAAGCCAGCCTGCGCCCTCCCAGACAGACACATCCTCACTCTATCCTTGTGCTGGGATCCCCCACTTCCTCGAACCCTGGCACTGACACCCTTGGGACACCCTGTGGGAGGTGGGAGGTCCCATTACCCCAGTCCCACATCCAGCCCTACCTCTGCCTGCCATGCCAGAGTAGAGGCGGAGAGCGCAGAGGTTCGCCCAGCTCCCAGCACAGCTATTGTCTCGCCATCATCATCCACCACCTTGAAATCCAGGTCCTCGTTGTACTTCCTCCTCTTCACTTGCCTTCCTGAGCGGCGTTTCTGTGTGTGGGATGAAAAATGCAGTCATGGGGGAGCCAGGTAGACCAAGGACCTCCTCCTTGCTTGAACAGAAGAGAGGAAGCTCTAGGGCTGCCTGATGCCCAGCCCAACCCTGCCCCAGTGGGGCGGAGGTGGTGGGAAGAACAGGCAGCCCTTGGAGGTAAACCCATCACCGCAGTGCCGGGGGTCTCCATCAATGACCCACACAGCCCCGAGACCTGAAGCAGAGGAG